CCTGCAGGTTCAGCCCCTTCGAGGGCCTCAGCTAGCACGCGAAGCAGAGCACCGCCAGCAGCGCCGCCAACGGCTCGCCCCAGTCGACCATCACTTGCGCGAACAGCCGAAAGACGCCAGAGAACGAAGCTGGTGCCTCTGGGCCACCACCGAGACCCTACTTCAAGTACAATGATGTTTTCGGCCTTCAGGAACCGAGCCGCGAAATCGAGCTGCCAACCCTTGGGGTCCAAGAGCTCCTGAGGTATCTCGACGAAGTTGGGGTTCTCGCCCCAGGCCTCTGGAGTCTCGCCGGGGTCCACGAGCGTGACAATGCGGATTTTTCTGAGAATGTCCGCGCCTAGCAGCGAGTGGCCCCGAGCCCTGATAGCGGGGGTCCCAGCCTTGAACCTAGACTCCTCCTGGAGGCCCCCGATCGACTTGACGACGTCCGAGCCGAGCGCCCGCGAGCATACAGCGTGCCCAGAGAGGCAGGCGTCGGACGATGTGACCTTCGGGCACCACGGTCTATCGAGCCGCGCCTGTTCAAAACGGCAGCTGCGCGAGGAACCATCTGATCCCCCTGCGCAGCGAACCCCAGACACGGCAGCGGCTGACGGCGCGGGCCGAGATGAAGAAGTAGACGCGATGGAAAATAGCAAACGTTTCACGACGTAGCATTCACATGTGAACGCAGTGACCCGCGATCCGCTCCAAAGCTTCGCCGCAGACGCGGGGCCGCCGAAGGAGCCGGGGCCCTGCGGCCCTGAGCAACTCCAGCTTGCGGCCCGTGGCGGCGGCAAGCCTCTCTCGGCCCATGACCTTATGGCCCAGCGTGACGGCGTCCACGGAGGGCCCGTAGATCTCGTGCGCCACGAAGCCGAAGCGCAGGAAGTGGTCGACCAGCTCGTCCCGCAGGGCCCCGGCACGCTGCGCGTCGGAGCCCGCGACGTTCAAATTGTCGGCGTAGGCGAGCAGCGCCGGCTTGCCATCCGACATGTCGGGGGCGGGCCGCTTGTCACTCAAGGTGCGATCCACAGTGGCGGCCCTGCTGCACGTGGACTGGTGGTGGACCACGCGCTGGGCAACCCGCGTCGCCTAGCTCCAGACCATCGGGGCCACCGCGAGGCAGCGCGGCACAGGCTGCCCTCGGGCAGCGACGCGATGTCGGGCGGGGGCCTGCGCGTGGTCCTCAGCGAGGACACGTCGACCGCGGGGGGGGGCAAAGTGCTCGGACAGCTCCTCCGCGATCGCGAGGTGGTAGAAGTAGTTCGCCAGGTCCGCCTGCGCGGTGTAGACCTCCTCGTCCTGCCCGGACTCGAGGTCCGCCAGCTTGCCCCCCAACGACATGTTCATCTTCGGGCACCTCGCGAACCTCGCGTTGACTGCCCTACAGTCCCACACGGTGCGCAACTGCCCAGATTTCTTCCGATGAGATCCTGAGCGTTGGTCGAGTACCTCAGCATGTTGGCGCGGTCCAGCCGGGCCACGAAGTCTGCGTACTTGCCAGGGTCCGAGGCTGGCGTCGGGCCCATCGGGGCCTCGCTCTCGCACCGCTGACCGAACTCATCCTCAGACAACATCATGCGCGACCGAAATTCCCGAAGGCAGCGGGCCCCCTCGGGGTCGAGAACATCAAGTGCGGCGGGGGGCTGCTCCAACTCCTCCGGCACCGCGATCAGCGTGGCATCATACCTGGCCACAGCACTTGGAAACTCTCGACTGTCGTAGACGAGGTCGGAGCCGAGAAGCTCGCAGGTTGCTTCTCGCTGCTGAGTAAAAGGAGGCACTCCTGCGGGAAGAACGTGCTTCAAAACTGCGCGCTGAGCCGCTGCCTGGGCCGCGCTCCTGCCCGCCCTTGGCGGCGCTGGCGACGAGGGGGGGGGGGGGGCGGGCCCGCTGTAGAGATCGTTCAAGGCCTGGGTGCTCTCGTTGGCCCTGAGCCCGCTGGCGCGCCGACGTCGCAGCCGCCGGTGAACTGAACGGGGGAGCTGGGAGGCGCCCAGCGTTGCCTCGTGGGCGGGAAGAGCCTCCCGGGCACGCGCCGAGCCTCACCGCCCTGAGACGGAACTGGATAGCAAGGCTGGCGAGCGAGGGGGGCAGGCGGGCCCAGTCGCCCCCCCCGGGGCCCAAGCCGCGTTATTTCTCGCCTGCGGCTTCGGCGCCCGTCGCGCCCTCTGTCTTGCCACGACCCTTGGCCCTCGCGTCGGTCTCCCCCCGCGCCTTCCTATCGCCGGCTCCTGCCCGAGCTGGTCGGCGATGTGGGCCGAGAGGCTGGGCGCGATGGCCGAAGCCCCCCGCGCGGCGACCCCAGCCCGTGAACTTGTCGGCAGCGCTGTAGTCGGGCTGACTCGGCGAGACTCGGCGCGCCTCCTTGATCAGCGCGAGACGTCGCGAGGCCAGCTCCATGCACAGCAGAGAGACGGGCAGTTCAATTGATCCTGCACCGCCGCTGCGTCGAAGATGCGGCTGAGAACCTCATGCTCGTAAATGCTCCGATCCCCCGGCGGCGCCTTGGAGAGGCGCGCCCAATTCTCGCGCGAGTGGAAGGCACTTTTGCCGTTGCCCCGCGCGTGCTTCATGAACCAGAGGGCGGCGCGAGGGCCCTGAAGATCCCAGGGCATGTGCTCCTCCGACGAGTGGGCCAGCGCGTCGCCCCATGAGCGACGGCGATCGCCCTGGACATCATATCTGACATCCAACGTGCGAGCATCACCCTTCGCCAGCGCCAGCGCGTCCGCCGCGGAGAGCTGCGCCACCGCCGCCGAGACGCCAGCCACGTGGAGGAGGGAGCGGTCTCCGAGCACGGGGGCGCCGGGCGGCAGGTGGTGGCAATCGACGTCGCCCAGCGAGTAGCCTCCACGATCCTCCACGGCGTACCAGCCCCAGGAGGAGAATCCAGGCGGGATGCCTAGCGCGGCACCGGCGGCAGCGCCGACGGCCGCGCTCGGGGCGACGCCACAAGGGGGCAGATGGCCTCCGCTTCCTGGGGCAGGCGGCGCCCACCCCCGCGGGCACCAAGGCCGCAGCCGCCCTGGCAGGTGGCGCGGCATCTGGTGCTGCGCCGGCTGCCGCGGCCGCAGCCGCGCCTGCATCACCGCCAGGCGGGTTGAAGTGGCACACGAGCGGCAGCGGCACGCACGGCACACCCAGGTGGTGAGCCCCGAACATCGCGAAGGCGTTGATCATCGCCTGGGCCGGCGCCGCACGGAATCCGTAGACCTGTCCAGGTGCGACCCCACGCGGCACCTCCCCAGCGTCCGTCAAAACGTGCACAGTGACGAAGTCGAGCCCGACGGTGCACGACGCCTCGTAGTGGTCGAGATCGGGTGTGAGCCCATATGCATTGACAGACCCTGGGCGGACAGCCAAAACCAACCTCACATGATACACGGCAGGGCCCGGGACGCCACGGTATTGCACCATCACATAGCCCCCTGCATTCAGCTCCATCGCGCTCGAGATGCAGCACCGCGGCTCCGCACGAAGGACAGCTGCGCCCGAGCCTGCTCCTCAAACGACGGGACCGCCTCCTTCACCACGACTGTCGGTCCAGCCTCGTGCGCCGAGCGCCGCTCGACGGTCGGGAGCCCCCGCACGGCACTGAGCACGTACGCGGCGACGACCAGCACCGTCAGCACCGTCACCCTGCCGTCTCACAGACGCAAGCGGTCGCCGGCACAGCGGGGCAGTGCAGGACTGGGGCGCAGGCTGGGCACGGCTGGCCCGCACCCCGTAATGCCGCCCCGGTGTTGAACCCGCACGCGAGCTCAAGGGTCGTGGCGCGGGCTACCTGCATAGCCGGAAAAACTTGAACGATCGTGTCAATGGAACGATGACGATAGGACGGCGGTGCTCCAACACCGCAGATAACATTCCCGAGCCAGCGCATCCATGTGTGTTTGTATATATACACATATATAGCGATATTGGTGTGATATCGACATTGAGATCGATTGTGAAATTGATCGAATGGAAGGTCATGCAGTCGATCGTGGGACCGATCGATCAAGAGATCGACCAGGAACCCCGGAACCCAAGAACCCCGCCGCCCACCGAAACTGGCCCTGAACCAGCACGCGGGAACCCGGGGACCCGGAACCGGAAACCCGGGAACCCAGCCTGCCACCAAAATCGGCGGGACAATTTCGTCTAATCTTTCAACTTCCGCTCAGACCCCTTCGGGTGCAAACGCTGATTGGAGATCAACAAACAGATTTGACATGGGCTCCGTGGCCCTGCCAACGATCTAACCTGGGCCGAGGGGTCGCTCACAAGGGTGCGATTTTGCCTCGGCGTCGGGCTGGACGCCCACAGGCGTCTTTGATGTTGCACGTTGCCGCGCGGCCGCCAGCCGCCGCCGCTCGCTGGACGAAGCGGGGGGGGAGAGGAGGGTAGGCTGGGGGGTCTATCGACGGGCCGGTCAGCACGAGGCTCCAGTCCATTGCTTCTGCCAGTAAGGGACATCTTTGTGGGACCCGGAAGAAAGGGAAACCCGATGATGACGAAAAACGCCGCAAGAATGATATCCAGACCCAGGCCAATAGCACGGAAGGGGGGGGGGGAACGGAGCGGAGAAGAAGATCATGCGGCCAAGGGCGAGGCGCTGACGAAGACAGCGCAAGAGCGGAGAGAAACGGGAACATCGATGCGGGCGAGCAGCGCAGGAGGGAGGATGCCAAAAACGAGGCCAGAGAAGAAGATCAAGCGGCCAAAGGCGAGACCTCTCGTGCCAATCGAGGGTGCCGAGGAGCGGGGGGGGGAGGCGAACCGACTGCGGTTGTGTCGACTGCGCTTTCCGTTTCGATCGCCCTTCGGCAGAAATCTGCTCACCACGGGTGGCCCACCCTTTGGTCTGCAAGCGGCATCGCGCTCTTGCACACCCCCGCCAGTAGCTTCTTTTGTAAAATTCTTGCGCGGGTTTTCAAATTCCGAACTCCTGCTCCTCCTCCTCCTCCTCCTCGTCAAACAGAAACGGGTGGAACAGACGCGGGGAGCGATCAGGGAACGATCTGCAGGGCCTGGAACTCGCTAGAGAAGACGGGGAAGATGCGTACCAAGTTCAGCGAGCCAACACCTGCAGGGAGCGGCCGCTTCTAGAATGAGAGATGCGGGTGCTGTAAACAACCACCGGCCCCTAGAACGGCAAGCAACTCCTGATAATGAGAAGCTCGTCCTGGGTAAAACTCCTGGACATTTCCGAACGTCCAGAAAGAACTACATACGGTGATCCTGCGACGAGCTGCAAGCGAATACATTGCACCAGTTGGCAATCTGCAGGACGCTCCAAGCCAAGACCTGGCCCAGGAGGGGAGAATCGAACGTCGATGAACTGTTGCTTTCACCGAAAGCACTGAACCAACACTTCACCGAAGTACGCTGGGCAATCGAAGCTCGATGGGCGCGCTTACGCCGACGGAGGATGATGACGAGGAGAGGGAGGAAGAGGAGGAGACGGGGACAGGACGCTGGGCGACGATTCCCTGCGGCCAAACCGGCCACCTACACAACGTTAGATCGCACAGCGGCATCGAAACCATGAAGCCCGCAGGCCCCGAAACAAGGCAGAGCTCCCTGTTGTGATTTTCGCGATAAGCACATGGTTCACGGATGTCCCCCGACGTCTTCAAAGTTATCTGAAGGTCGCCTGAGGTATCTTCACAGATGTTTCTCCGGTAGCTGGATTGTCTCCACAGGTATCTGGAGGTATCTGGTATCTGGTGTCTGGAAGGCCAGGAACTCGCAACAATAATTTTAAAGAGCACGCTCCCCTTTCTTCCGGCAGGAACTCCATAACTGTGCTTGAATAACACACTACTTTTCGGAATGATTAGGGGCTCTGGTCCCGCAGTTGGCAATGTTCCCCCGATGGTTTGGTTAGGGTTCCCTGGAGGCCTCCGAAGCCTCCGGAGGCCACCAATAGATCTGAAATAGCAGAATGTGCGCAAGATCATCGCCTTCTCTCCGCTCGTCCAGAAATACTAGCATCGGTCTACGAGTCTCGGGTCTCAGGGGTAGGGCACAGGGAAACTAGAATCAAATCGTGAGAAGGGGGCGATCTAGGCTTGGTGCATGGCGTTCTTCGAACGGGGACCCCATACGGTCGAAACGTGGCTACACTAGTACTAGTCAAGAACATGAGCACCATCGGCCGAAACCGCATGCTTCATGGAGACCCGCCACTGTGCCCTCGAGGCCCGAGTTGGAATGTCCTCAGGTCCCTTTCGACCCCCTGGAGCCTCAGTCCTCAATTCTCTCAAGGGCCTGGACGCCAAATTCACAAATCTTCTGTAACGCATCGCGTGGCCCCTGGGGATCCCGGCGCCTTCCCGCATGATTTTTTCAGGCTCGAAAAAGCCCCAAGACGGGTCAAAAAGTCCTCAAGAGGCCCCCAAAACGGTAAAAGAGGGTCCCGAGTCGCCGACAGATCGCTCCAAGACGCCCACGATGGCTTCAAGACGGTCCAAGGGCTCCCAAGACGCCCTAAGAGGCCTTCAAGAGGCCTCCCAAAAGGACACCAAGAGGCAAACACACATTGATTGACCGCAGGCCCCCAGGATCGCCCCAAGCCGGCCAAAGAGGCCTCCAAGAGGGCCCCACTACGGCCCAAGAGAGCTTCCAAACGGCCCAAACTGACGGCTCCAAAGGGGCCCCGACGGGGGATCCGAACGGACAAATCAAACCCTCGGCCCCAAGGAGGCCTCAAGAGGTCCGAAAGAGCACGTTCTGTGGTCGCTTGGAGGGGGGGGGGGGGTGGAACCGGACATCCCCGCCCACCTGGTTGGAGGGAGGGGGGGGGGTTCGAACCCCTCCTGTGACGGAGGGGGGGGGGTTCAACCCCCCCTTCTTCCCCCCCCTGCTCCCCCTCTCCTCGGGCCAGCGCTTGCGTCGGCGGCGGCTGGCGATTGCGGCGGGGGCGCGATTTTCAAAAAGGCAGGCGCCGGCCAGCGCCTGCGGCGGCGGGAGGCGGTGGCGGGGAGCGTCGACGAGGACGACGGTGGTGGTGGTGGTGGGTTGTAGTGGTGGTGGAGGCAATGGTGGTGGTTGTGGTGGTGGTGAAGGTGTAATGGTTTGTTGTGGTGGTGGTGGTTCTGGCTGTGGTGTGGGTGGTGGTGGTGGTGGTGGTGTGGTGGTGGTGGTGGTGGTGGTGGTGGTGGTGGTTGTGGTGGTGGTGGGTGGTGGTGTGGTGGTGGTGGTGAGTGTGGTGGTGGTGTGGTGGTGGTGGTGTGGTGGTGGTGGGTGGTGGTGGTGGTGCGGTGGTTTGTGGAGGTGGCGGTGGTGGTGGTGGTGGCGGTGGTGGTGGTGTGGTGGTCTGCGGTGGCGGTGGGTGGTGCTGCTGGTAGTGGTGGTGGTTGTGGCGGTGGTGGTGGTGGTTTGTGGTGGTGGTGGTGGTGGTGGAGGTGGTGGTGGGTTTTTGTGGTGGTGGTGGTGGTGATGTTGAGTTGTGGTGGTGGTGGTGGTGGTTGTGGTGTGGTGGTGGTGTGGTGGTGGTGTGGTGGTGGGTTGTGGTGCTGGTGGTGTTGGTGGGTTGTGGTGGTGCCGGTGGTTTGCGGGCGTTTCTTGTGGTGGTGGTGGCGGTGGTGGTGGTGGTGGTGGTGTGGTGGTGGTTTGTGGTGGTGGCGGTGGGTTGTGCTGCTGGTAGTGGTTGTGGCGGTGGTGGTGGTGGTGGTGTGGTAGATTGTGGTGGTGGTGGTGGTAGTGGTGGCGGTGGTGGTAATGGTGAGTTGTGCTGCTTTGTGGTGGTGATGGTGGCTGTGGCGGCGGTGGTTGTGTGGTGCTGTTGGTGGTGGTGGTGGTGGTGGTGGTGGTGGTGGGTTGAGGCGGTGGTGGTGGTGGTAGTGGTGGTGGTGGTGGCAGTGGTGGTAATCGTCGCTGCGTCCCCGCCGTCGCCGGCGCCAACGCCGGCGCTGCTGGCCTCCGCCAGCGCCGACGCCGGCGCGAGGGGGGTGGGGGTTGAACCCCCACCCACCCCCCAGCGCCAGGGGGGGGGGGGTTGAAACCACCCCCCCCCCTGAGCTGCCTCTGGTCATCGTCGCTGCGTCCCCGCCGTGGGCTCTGCTGGCGGCCGCCAGTGCCAGCGCCAGCGCCGAGGGATGGGGGGGGAGCGGTTTGAACCCCTCCCTCCCCCTGGGAGGGGGGGGGGGGCGGGGGCGCCGGCGCCGACGGAAGGGGGGGGAGGAGTTTGAACCCCCCCCCCTCCCACTTGGGGGGGGGGAGGCTTCGGGAGGGGGGTGGGTGGGGGGGAGGGGAGCCCCCCTGGTTTTCATCGACGGCGCCGAGTAATGGGGGGGGCCCACCCCCCGGTTTGAAACGCGCTGCCGAATGTTCCCAAGGCAAGCGCCGGTGAAACGCGTTCTCTCTGAGGTCCCCCACAATGCCGCGAAGAGGCCCCAAGATGCCCCCAAGAGGCCCCCAGAAAGATCCCAGAGGCCCACAAGAGGCTCTCAAAAGGCTCCTAAGAAGTCCCAAAACTGCCCCCAAGAGGCCTCCGAGAGCGCTCCGAAGAGATCCCCAGAAGCATCCCTGATGACTCTGACCCACAACCTGGGCACGGTGGCGGCCGTGGCGGGATAGGCCGAAGGCCATTCGATATTTGATTACCAGGTCGAGGGGTATTCCAAGATGGAGAGCCCAGGACGCGAAGGACAGAATGGTAACTAAACCTCCCAAGCTCGGGTTGCTCTCAATAAAAAACACCTGGGGAACCCACTATCAGTAGGTCTGCTTGAACTTAGGGTTAGGTCAGGCGAGTCCCCCTACAGGCGGATTTTGGAAGAAAAATGAAAAGTACACCAGAATTGCTCCAACACAATCGAAAATTGCCTAAAATCGTCCCCTGACTATTCTTTGGCTATGTTTGAATATTCCTCCTGCAGAGGGACAGGCTCGACTTGAGCTTAGGGTCGGGAACGTTTGCTTCGCGTGTCGCGGCCGCGGCCCTGGCGAGACGCTGTGCCTTGCAAGCGGGCAGCGTGTCGCTCCGCTCCGCAGAGCGCCTCTTCCTCCTCCTCCTCCTCCTCCTCCTCCTCCTTGTCCTCGTCCTCCTCATCCTAATCCTCCCCCTCCTCCTCCTCCTCCTCCTCCTCCTCCTCCTCCTCCTCGTCCTCGTCTTCGCCGTCCTCCTCCTCCTCCTCCTCCTCCTCCTCGGCCTCGTCCTCCTCCTCCTCCTGCTCCCCCTCCTCCTCCTCCTCCTCCTCATCCTCTCTCCTCCTCCTCCTTCCTCCTCCCTCCTCCCTCCTTCTCCTCCTCTTCCTCCTCCTCCTCCTCCTCCTCCTCGGGGCGTTGACGCATGGGGGCGGGGACGTGGTCAGCGTGTCGAGCCGGAGCGTGGGCGGCGCTGGGCCCCCCTGGAGGCGGCTTCGGCGCCGCGCCGGGCGCGCCGCAGGCACTGGGGATGGGGGCCCAACGCCGATCCAAGAAATCCGCGCGGATCTCCGAGCATTTATGCTTGTGCCGTCTTATGCCGAACATGTACGTTCATGTCCTCCGAGCACGCAATTTGTTTTTTTGCATGGTCGCTCTTCTAAGAAGCTGGTGGACACGCCCTGTCCGGAAGTTAGCTTCCTTCTCGTCCTGGTCCGAATCTCAGGTCTGTACTATAGCTGCGTATCTTGTTATCACCGCTGGTTGCCAGACGTGCAATCTTGCCCACGCGTTTTCTGAACGCAAGACTTCGATCAGCCAGCCGTCTGTTCTCCTCCCATGCGTGGCGGGAAGCCCTTCGGTGGGGAACTTTGGCATGGCGTGGCGCGTCGCCGCTTTCGACCCACCACGCTTCGGCGCGACACGCTGACCACGTCCCTGCCCGATGCGTTTTCGAGCGCAGTGCTCGGGGAGAGGCTGCACCGGGCCAGCGCCAACCCGGGCCAGCCGGGGCCGCGTCGCGAAGCCAGGCCGGGCCACGCAGTGGCTCCCGGACCTGGGCCGGCGGGGGGCGGGGAAGAGTATATGAAGGGGGGGGGGGAAGCGGCCCCGCGTGGCTCGGGAACCCGGGCCGGCCAGAGGGGGTTGGCTGGCCCCCGCCAGCGCTGACCCTCGTCGTGAGGCCTCTGGCCAGCCTTAGGTCGAGCGTGTCCTCCTAGAGGCGGGTTCTGGACGACAAGTACACAAATGGCAAACAAGTGTCAAGAATAGCCAGATATGGTAGAAACTTCGTCGCCGGACTATGTTTCAAATTATTTTCGAATATCCCTCCCGTGGAGAGACATGCCCGACGTAAGGCCACCCGCCGAAGGGCTGGCTGCGCCCCGGGCGGGCGCCGTAGCCGAGGAGCCACGAAGCGCCCGTAGTGGACGCGAGCAGGGAGCCCGCCAGGAGCCGAGCGCCGGCGAGCTCCCGTGGGCGCGTGGGGTCCGTCGCCGCCGCCGCCGCGGCCGCCTCGTCGTCGTCGCCGCCGCCGCGGCCGCCGCCGCCGCCGTCGTCGTCGTCGCCGTCGTCGTCGTCGTTTTCGTCGTCGCTGCGGGTCGGCGTTCTCGGACTCACCTCGAGATCCTGGCCCGAACGCGCTCTAGAACAGGATTCGGGGGATCGTCGTCGTCGTCGTCGTCCGCGTGCTGCTGACGATGCCTCCTCAAGGCTTGGTCTTCGTCGTCGTCGTCGTCGTCGTCGTCGTCGTCGTCGCACTCCTCCTCTTCCTTCGCCTCCTCCTCCTTCTCCCCCTCGCAATTAACGCGACGCCTCCGCGGGGCGTTCGACGATGCGTCATCGCTGAGCGGCTCTTTTCAACTGGAGAGGCAAATCTGGGTACTGTTTGTTGAGTGTTCCTTTCAAGCGGTTGTCTTCCAATGGGGCATCTACCTCCGTGAAAATGAACCCTTGTAGGGTCCGATGAAGAGGGAACCTGGAGGGAGGGTCCACTGCAATCTCTTTGACGACGGTTGGGCTTGCACTGGTCCTCCTCCTCCCCCTCCTCCTCCTCCTCCCCCCCCTCCTCCTCCTCCTCCTCCCTCTTCCTCCTCCTCCCTCTTCCTCCTCCTCGCCCTGCTCCTCTGCATCTCCCCCTCCGACCGCCGGGGTGGCGTGGCACGCCAAGCGAGTACGAATTCGCCTCGCCGTGCCTCTCCGCGGGCAGACCGCGGGCGCGCGCCGGCGAGCGCGCGCTGCTGGCGTGCCGTGCGCTCCCCGGGAAGAAGGGTTGGGGCACGCGGCCGGGAGCTTCTGCTCAGCGCGTGGCGGCGGCGGCCCCCAGCGACACCGTGCTCGCTTCACCAGCTCGAGCGATCGCCCAGGTGGTCCACGAGAACGAAGGAGAGGGAGCAGAAACGAAAAAGCCCTCAGAGTGTGAGCACCCCGACAAGCAAGGGCGTTTAGCAAAAGCACCCACAGAAGGAATCGAACAGGGCAGGGCTGCTTAGTAAAGGCCCAAGGCTGTTTAGCAAGCGCTGTTGATCGGGGCCGGGGTGTTTTTTCCGCTCTTGAAGCAAAACGGCAAGGGAAGGAAGAGCAAGAGCGAGGAGCAGCAGCAGCAGCAGCAGCAGCAGCAGCAGCAGCAGCAGCAGCAACAGCAAGCAGTACAGAGCAGGCTCGGCCGACGGCCGTAACCCGGCGCCCCAGATTTGCGAGAGGGCAACGTTCCGCGCCGAAGCGTGGCGGGCCAACACCAGCGGGGCGACACGCTGAGCCCAAATTCCTGACCGTACACGGAGAGACTTGAGGGGAAACGATAGGGTTAGGTCGGGCATGTCCCCCTACAGGCAGGTTTTGGACGAAAAAAATAATCAAACTAATGCCCTAACAAAAATCAAAAATGGTAGAAACATCGCCCCTGGCATCTTGTGATCCCCGGCGCAGCGCGTAGGGCAATCCGCGCGCGTGGCCAGTGCCGGATGCCGGGCGGCCGTGGCGGCGGGCGCGGGGATAACGCCCAACCGCCATGGGGCGCTATCCAGCGGCAGCTGAAGCAGCTGGCGGAGGAGTGCAGGCAGGCCAGTCGCCCTGCTGGAGTGGCGCGGCCTCCGCGTTCGCAGACGCGGCAGCCGCCTGGGCAGCGCGGTGGCGAGCCCAAGGGGGCCCGCAAGGCGCCCTGGAGCTGCGCCTGCGGGACTGCCGACAATTTCGGCTGGCGCACCTCTTGTCGAGGATGTGGCCGGCAGACGCCGCGGGCAGAGCCTTCGGTGCGAGTGCGCACGAGCACAGCGCCAGCAGGCCCGCCGACGCCGGCGCCATGGGCAGGGCTCGCGGCCGGGGCGAGCTCGCGTCCACCACCGACCACCGAGGCTGCGCCGCCGCAGCCTCCGGCCCCGCAGGCAGCCGCGGCCGGTGCCCCTCCCCAGGCAGCTACTCCTGCCCTGGAGGGCCTCGCTGGCATCAAGGCCCGCATCGCCGCCCTCCGCCCCTTCTCCGAGTGGGCGGCGGAGGTGGCGAGGCTCGAGTCCGCGGCGGCCGAGCTGCAAAAGGCGGAGCGTGCTGCCCGGCCTTTCGAGCGCCGGCTGCAGTCCGCGTTGGACTCGCGGCGGAACCGCGCCGAAGCGGCGCGGCGTGCCCAGGGGGCCGCGGCGGCTGCTCGGACCGCGGCCGAGGAGGCTCAGCGGGCTGCCGAGGCAGCCGACGCCCGCGCTGCCCAAGCCATCTCCGAGGCGCAGGCTGCGGAGCAGGCGGTCGCTGCGGTGCAGGCGGAGGTGGCTGCTGCAGGCGCGGCGGCGTGCCTGGCCGCCGACGCTGGGGTCGCGGGGCTCGATGGTGCGCTTGCGGCTGTCGCCGCCGCCGCTGCTCAGAGAGGAGCAGACGGCCTCGTGCAGCAGCTGCGGGCCGTGCTGCTGTCCCCTGCGCCCGCAGGCCCCGCAGGTGCCGCCGGTGCGGCGGCGGGCCTGGACGCCGCCGGCGGTCCCGCGATGCCCGAGGCCGCGGCCGCGGCCGCGGCGACCGCCGCCGCGCGGCCCGCAGCGCGCCGAGGAGGGGGCCCGGGCCGGCGCGGAACATCCCCAGCCCGTTCCGCCGAGGAGGACGAGGAGGGAGAGGAGGCCGATGGGAGATCCCGCTCCCGGGAGCGCGAACCACCTCTGTTCTCGACAATTGGGCCCCTCCCGCCAGGTCAGCGTACGCTGCCGCTGGTGCCAGCAGCCGGCCGGGGCGCACCGGCAGCAGAGGCTGCAGTTCATGCGGATGCAGGTTTCTAATCGGTGTGCTGCAGCTGCTGCGGATGGCGTTGCCGCCGCGCGATTGCCGACTGCGGAGCCCTTGGCGCGGCGTCCGCGTCGGCGAGGCTCGGCACCCAGGGCCCGAGCAGACCTCCGACGACTGGCCGACGCCACTGGTTGAGACCGAGGTGGCCGATCAGGGTCCATCACTTGGCCAGGCGCTGGTGGCCCCAGCATTGGCCGTCGACGCGGCGGCCTCGTCCAGCAGGCGGCGACGGCATGCGACGTTTTGCACTCAGTGCCACCTGCCCCGGACCGGCGGCCAGGCTAAGAGAGACGAGTCTCTCTTGAAATGCGTGGAGTGCGAGGGCGGCATCGAGTACCGAAAGTGGATATATCGGTGCTCCTCCTGCCCCACGGTCGTCTGCAGGCATTGCGCCTCCCAGCAGGAGCAGCGACCGCCCCAGCAGCAGCTGCAGCAGCAGCAGCAGCAGCAGCAGCAGCAGAGCGCGGCAGCAGCAGCAGCGGTGGACTCGCTCTTGGAGGTGCCGTCCCTGCAGGCACCTCCTGCCGCTGTCTCCGACAGCCCGCCTCGGGCGGCTGCAGGTCAAGTAAGTGGGCCGAGTCAGCTACTGCTGGCGCTTCGACAACTTCCGGTCGTTCGCCGCGTGCCGCTGGCGAGGTGGGTGCCCACGCGGTTCGCTCGCCAGTGCGCCGCTGTCCGCTTGCAGGCCCTCGACAGGGTCATGGATGCTTTGGACTCTGACCTCCCGCCGTTGGCGCAGGAGGAGCTCAACCTACTGGCGCTCGCGGTGCCGCATCTCCTGCTTCGCGAGCGCGTTGCCGAGCCAGACGAGCATGCCGCAGTCCAGCCGGACCCTGACGAGGCCGGCGGGGAGAAAGACAAACCCCAGCAGAGCTTCGCCCGCCTTCTCCGCGCGAGGATGCAGCTCGCCAGTGCTGCTCAGCGGCTTGACCTCGTCACTGCTGCCGCTCTGGACGAACGCAAGTGGGCTGCGGGTCACGCCGAGCGTGGCGCTGGACATGCCGGCCACCTTCGGCACGCACCGCCTGCTCCTGTTACCGCCGATGCAGGCGGGGAGCCGGCCACCCAGCAGGACTCTACGTCTACGTGGACTCGCGCTTTGGAGGCCGCCGACGTCGGCGACCTCCGAAAGGCCAAGCGCCTGCTGACAGGGGCGAAGCTCCTCCCGCCGACGGAGGAGACGCGCGAGAAGCTGACCGCGCTGTTGCCGCCTGCCTCCGCCGAGGCTCGTGCCTCGCGACCGCCAGCCCCGCCAGTGTACAAGTGCAGCCCCGTCGAGTGCAAGCAGGTCCGCGCGTGCATCTGGAGCGCTCGTGCACTGGCGCATGCCGGGCCCAGCGGGGAGCGTAACTCCCGCGTCCAGGCGCTCCTCAGGAGCCCGCGCGCGACGCGGACACTCTCAAGGTGGGCATCGATGTGGGCCTGCCGGCAGTTGCCGGCCTTCATCCGGCAGCCGCGGCTCCACATGCAGCTCATTGCCTCGGACAAGGGCGGGGGCAAGGCGCGCCCCATCGTTTTCCAAGAGGTCCTGTTCAAGCTCGCCGCGGGCGCCATCAGCCGCGCGGAACTCCACAGGGTTTCCGCGCACGTCGGCAGCAACCAGCATGCGCTCGGCGCAGAGAGTGGCACTGCCGCCCTCATTACCGAGGTCCAGGCGGACATGGCGGCCCACCCGCACTGGGTATACCTCGGGCTCGACCTCGAGAACGCCTTCGGCACTGCCCGCCGCCAGGACGCCTACGGGCAGGCCCGCGCCTGCTCTCCGCGCACGGCGACACTGCAGCACAACATGTGGTTCGGGGGAGTCCGGCAGCTGTGCTACGCCCAGGTGGGGGAGCAGTTCAAGACGCTGGAGATGCGGGAGGGTTGCTGCCAGGGCGGTTGCAGTGCAACCTCGGACTTCGGCCTCGCATTCTCGGCCAACATTCGCGACATCTCTGAGGCCTACTCCAAGGCGTTCGCAGATAAGTCCTCTCGCCCGCGTCTCCGCCTTTTCGTCGACGACGTCTGCGTCGCCGCTCCGCGTGAGCACTGGCTGCAAGCGATGCGGATCGCGACGCAGTGCTGTGTGGCACGGGGGCTGAAACTGCGCGTCGACAAGACCAAAACCCACGTGCCAGCTGCCCGTTCAGACCCGGCCCTCGCTGGCGAGCTCGCTGCCGAGCTGCGCCCGCATGCTGAATTCGACGCGTCTGGTTCTCCTCTCCTTGGCGCTCACGTCGAAGGCGAGTGCAGCACACATTTTAGTTTCGACGGGGCCACCCTCGGCCCAGTGCAAAAGCGGTGCGAGAAAGCGATCGCATTTGCTTCGGTTTTAAAGCGAGTTGCGCATGCCGAGCTCACTTGCCGTAAAATGGGCCCTCTATGGAAGCTTGTTTGCTTGGTCTTGAACCGAACTCTGTCCTACGACGCCTGTGTTGTGAAGCCGGCAGCCTTCCTGCCGTACGCACGTCGCTTGGACAACGCGGTCAGCGATCTTGTCCGGACAGCTTTCTTGGGGCCTGCTTGCACGGACCCGCAGTGGCAGGCCTGTCTCAGCACCCTGAATGCACCGCTCAGCCATGGAGGCATGGCGCTTCGACCCATTGCTCTTGAGGCTCATTTTTCGTATCTCGCCACGCTCCTCCGCGTGCTGCCGAAAGCCTCTCGGCAGCTTGTCCTCCACCTGCAGCCAGCTGTAATCGACGTAGGGTACGAGCGCTCCGGCATGCTCGCTGCTGCCAGAGATTGCCTCGGCCGGTTGGCGGCGAGCGGCGTGTTCCTCGACGCGCGGGGGATGCCGCAGCCGCAGCCTGATGCGCAAACAGGTGCCCGCACATTTTCGCTCGAGCACGCGGTAGCTGCAGGTGCAGCGCTGCGGTACCGTCGTAAATTGTGGATGCTCCGAGCGGCCGATGCCGCACTCTCTGCAGGGACGCCTGAGCAGCGGAAGCACTGGCTGTCCGGAGGCGGCCCGGAAGGCGGGCTTGGTTTTACAGCCAACTCCACTGGGGATTTGGCCCCTTGGTCGGACGATGAGTTCCGCATCAATTTCCGCCGGCGTCTCCGGCTCCCGCTCTTCGGCGTCGCGTGCTTTTGTCAGCGCCGCACGCGCGCTGGAAGGGTCTGTGGCCACGCACTCGACGAGCTTGGAGATCACGCGATATCTTGCATGATCGGTGGAGCCCACAACCGTCTGCATGATAGAATCTGCGACGAGCTCGCGGCGTGCGCTCTCACAGCCGGCCTTGCAGCCACACGCGAGGTCGTGCTTCCAGAGCTGGCCACGGCAACCATGCGTGAGCCGCGCGTGGACGTGCAGCTCTGGGGCCACTGCTCGCTCCCAATTTTCCACGGAGACTTCACAGTCGTCAGCACACACAACCGCCGCGGCCATTCGGCGACCGCCGGTGCTGGCGCGACCGCTGCCGAGGCTGCGAAAGTAACGAAATATGGAGCTCGAGGCGGCACCAGCGTGCAAGGCCTTGCACTTGAATTCGGCGGCCGCCACGGGCCGCAGCTGACGTGTCTGCTGCAACAGCCGGCAAGCCTCACCCGGCACCAAAGCCATCTCCGTGGCACGGGTTGTGCACGGTCGCCGCTCCGCGATTGGCGGCAGCGGATTGCAGTCCTCTTGGGGCGAGCCACTGCGGTGCTCGTCTCCTCCGCTACCGCACCAGCGTCCCAATAGTGGGTCGCTGGTGCACCGTTCTTGTACAGGTGGTCACATCGAAGCTTGTCCGCGCAGACGTGTCCAAAGCAGCAGCAGCAACAGCAAGCAGTACAGAGCAGGCTCGGCCGACGGCCGTAACCCGGCGCCCCAGATTTGCGAGAGGGCAACGTGCCGCGCCGAAGCGTGGCGGGCCAACACCAGCGGGGCGACACGCTGAGCCCAAATTCCTGACCGTACACGGAGAGACTTGAGGGGAAACGATAGGGTTAGGTCGGGCATGTCCCCCTACAGGCAGGTTTTGGACGAAAAAAAATATCAAACTAATGCCCTAACAAAAATCAAAAATTGTAGAAAAATCGCCCCCTGGCGATTTTTGTAATATATATATATATATATATATATACCTATATATATATATATATATATATATTCCTCCTGTAGAGGAATACGCCCGACTTAACGAAAGGGGGAACCGGCTCAGGGGGGAGACATAGGGCGCGAATCGGCGATACGTCGCCGATAGGTCGGGCTATCAGGCCCATATCGGGGATGAATGTGCGATAGAGGGTCGACGCATCCCCCACTGAGCCTATTCTCCCTAACGTTGCCCCTGAGGAGGGGTATATACGTAGGAAGGCGCCTGCACGCCACCATTCAAGCCTGGCAAGGGGCCATCCCTGGCCCTGGGATGGTGTGCCAAAACTTCGGGCGAATCGAGATAGTTACGGCGTTTTTTTTAATTGTTTCGGCGTCCAGTAGGAAGGCACCAACTATACACCAACACCGATCCTGGCCAGGATCACCCTGGGCCCAGGATCGCTGTATACGCCCTCCTGCCTTGCGCAAGAAGGCATATACACCGATCCTGGGCCCAGGGTGATCCTGGGCCAGTATCGGTGTTGGTGTATAGTTGGTGCCCTCCGATCCAGGGGCCGTCGGCGGGCGGGCACGAGAAGCTGTCCCCGCGCAAGGGGTCGAGACCTCTGGGGCCCGCGCATCGAGAAAACATCCCGTCGGCAGTCAGGGCATCGTAAACTCATCCCTGGCCTCGGCCAGGAGGGAGTAATGCACCATGCCGGGGCCCTTGATGACCCTGGCAAGGCACGGTGGTGGTGGTGTGCCGTGGAGTAGGGGCGGGGAGGAGGACAAAACGCCTCCACTCCGAGGCTTGAGTTCAAGCGTGTGGAACCGATGTCCTAGGACTCCAGGAGGCAGTGGATTACGGATGATCTCGGGCCTCGGGGAGGGGGAGGATCCGTACATCTCCGCTGCCTCCTGGGTCCTTGGACGTTGTTCCCGAAGCGGCGGGTATGTGTAACTTCTGCCCCCCAGGGGGGCAGGACCAGAGAGGGAAGGCGAACTTCCACTGTCGTGAAGCAATCAACACGCTTGTGCTTCGTCTGTTTCGGTCTCCGGAGCCTGCTTCAGGCCCCAGAACAATCAAATCTGGGATTGAGGGCCTGTTGCCGGAAGGGTCGAGAGGCGGCGACCGATGGCGCATGCTGAAAAAAGCGACGTCGGTGGTCTTGGGCGGAGGGTGATTCGGCGGACTGTTCCACGATCCCAGACGCAGGAGCAAATGTCGTTGTTACCTGTGCTTCCTGGCCTCCAAGAACACCCTGTCCCGGTTGCACAATTGGGAGCAATGTGAACACTTTTTTTTTGGGGGAGCAATGTGAACACTAGACAGGGTTCTGTCCGGGCGGTATCCAGGCATTGAGTCTTGGCGGAACTGGAGGGTCGTCCCCTCAGCCGCCGAGAGGCAACACGGCAGAAATGGCGAGAGGACAAAGCAGAGGCAAGGGTCCGACAACTCACTGTATTCTCGAGAACCAACAAGATACAACCCCTGCATGCTACGCGTTGACATTCTCCGTATCTCTCCGCGAAGCGTGGGTTTTATATTTGGGAGATGTAGGAACCTATGTGTGCGAAGCACTCTGAATAAATCTGATATCAAAGCTCGAACGGGCCCCTGGTATGCGTTCAGTGCGCAGTCCATCATGACGAAGGCACTGACGGCAATCACTGCGCCAACGGGTCGATCCAGACCAAACACATTGCAGATCCATTCAGCAGAGGAAAATGTCAGCAAGGAACTGGAAGCAATGATACCACCGAAAATGAGAAACGGCTTCCGCCGACCACAAGAGCTCCCTGGCAAGGCATCTGACATAGTTCCCACAACTGGCTGCACCAATACTCCACTCAGTGGCCCAGCAATCCAAATCAAACCTAACACCGAGTGCGGGACTCCCAGGGAGCGAAATGTCGGCGTACCAAAAGCATACTGTACAGCCCAAATAACTTGGCACGCTGACCAACAAGAACAGATGCAAAAAATACGTCCAGATATTACATCGGGTTTTCGTTCAGGTGTCTGAGATGGCCCCCGCATCGCCGTTTACATGTCTTTTAATAGGGTGGGCCCTTGAACCATATGACAACACAGCATATACGCACACATGACACACGCCCCAAAACTTGAACAACATTGTCTTGCACATGTACTGCGAACCTCTCCTGCCCAGTCCAATTCCCTTATCTCCCTCATTCACAAGCAGCAAGCGGAATGACACATTGATCATCGGAATGAAATATCAAGGCAGTGCGTGTCCGAAACGACTATCCCTGATGCTGCATGATGGGAATGACCACACACATTGAGGTACGGAAGAAGAAGGTGGCGGAGATGACGGCGGTGGGGGGACAAGAACGAACAGAGTTGCCGAAACTGAATGAGAGCGAGGAGAACCAGAACGAGTAGTGAGAACCCGAGGGGGAGATGACGAACGAGAGGTGAGCGAGCTGACGGGAATCATGGGATGACGAGGAAGGATCTGGAGGATAGCACGCCCACAGAAGGGAGAGAAAGAGAGAGAGAGAGGGTTCGTCCAAGACTCCCAAGGGGGTCCATCGAAAGGAACCTTTTTTCGTCACCGCGGCTGGCTGGGAACCACGGGGCAGCGTCAGGACCCCCCCGGAGGATGAACGATCGGCTTCCTCGGCACTATCGATCGTCAGATGGAAAGCCTCCCCGAGCGCTCGGGCTTCACCATCATTAAAGGGGCCCCAGGAGACACAAATAAATACACACAAATAAAAATATTCCCTATATTTTCCCATATTTTCTGGGTTTCTGTCTTCCCCCCCACTTCCCATATTTTCCCATATTTTCTGGGGAATCGACGATTAATTGTGTCTGTGTGTTTCTTTCCCTCCTGATTCACCATCATCTAACACGAAGGCCTGTAGGCAATCAGACAAGCACGGACCGGAGGCGGCCGGGGGTCCCTGATCCCTGGGCCCTCGCCAGCCGCGGCCTCGAATGCGCGTCCGGGAAGCGATGACCGAACAACCTGACAGCGACGGACCCTGGAGGAATCGGCGCTCCCAGCTTTCGAGCCCTGCTGGGGTGCTTGAAATACCGACGGCTGCTTGAATTCTTCTTCCCGACTCATACTCCCGCTTGAGCAGAGCCTGGACACACATCGGAGAGACCTCTGACACTGCGACTAGAGTCTTCGAGTGTAGGGGAGGGGGGGAGAAGTCAAGGTGAGGACGAGGAGGGGAGAGATCGAACCAGACCTGCTGAGCACTCAGAGGATCGCGGGCGATACCAACACTATCCGTATGCATGCCCTCGTGGTCTGGATACCGGAACGCGCTTCCAAGGAATCGCGACCCCATGGGTACGTTCCGCGCGGGGCATTAGCGCAACGCTGACCGTATCCACGGAATCGAATCCGAGAATCCAAACAGCGAAGTCGTGGATCAGAGGTTGGGCGGTGAGACCGGAACGAAAAGATGCCGCCTGTCCGGGAGATCAGTTTCGGTTGCGGTTCGTGCCGTGCGTTCGAGGCGAACCAGCGCAAGTTCCTGCACTAACTAGACACGGGCCGCGCCTTCATAAATCGCTTACCCGCCAGCTGGGGCGTGCCAAATGCTGTCCAGGGATTGTCACGTGGTTGCCCCCACGGTTGCCCTGCTGGTAGTCCCGGCGGTTGTCCTGCTGGTTGTCACGCCGGGTGTCCCGATGGTTGTCCAGATGCTTGTGCCGATGTTCTCCCCATGGTCGTCCCAACGGTTGTCCTGCTGGTTGTCGCGATGGACGTCCCGATTGTTGTCCCGATGGTTGTCCTCATGGCTGTCCTCCAGTGGTTGATCCAACAAATGTCCCGACTGTTATCCTGATGGTCGTCCCGATGTTTGTCCCGATGGCTGTCTTGTCCCGATGGTTGTCCCAAAAACTATCCCGATGGTTGTCCCGTGATTGTCCCGTGGTTGTCCCGCGAATGTTCCGTCGTTGTTCCGTGGTTGTCCCGTGGCTGTCCCGCGAAAATTCCGTAAACATCCCGCGGTGGTCCACTGGTTAATCCTTTCATGTCCCGCGATTGTCTCGTGGTTGTCCCATGTTTGTTTCGCGGTTGCTCCGCGGTTGCTCCACGATTGTCCTGTGGTTGTCCCGTAGCTGTCCCGTATGTTTTGTTCTGCATTTGTCTTGGGGTTGTCGATCGATGCGGTGTGAAACTGGTAGACACTAATACCAATACCTTGCGGCGTACCCATCCAATTTGCATCAAGTGGCAAGAAACATTGGCCAACATTTGCCAGGACAATGATGGTGCTGGCGTCGTCATGTTGTGCAACCTACATAGGGTGCGCCCACGCGGCGCGATTCACAGGACCACAACAGAAGGACGAGAAGCGAGGGCCCAGGCTTGAGGACATGGGGGCGGGAACAGACGGCAAGAGAGGAACGCTCGGGGGGCCGAATCGTCAGAGCGGCAGCAGCAGAAGGAAGGTGGCTGGGGGCAGAGGACTGCGACGAAAATGACTGGAGGTGACCGAAGAATGTTGCTCTTGCCGGTAATGCGCTGAAGTTACAGCGCTGCCTGCGCCATGACGCCGCGGCGCTCGGCAGCATAATTCAACCTGCCTGTTGTTAGTGCAAGAAGCGAGCGAGGCCTAGGACGCCCGCCAGCTTCCCGGCTTCCTTCCTGCACTCTTCAGCGCGGGAGCTAAACGGTCGAAGGCGCGCCGCCAGGTCTCCGCGGGACAGCGCTCCGCGGGACAGCGCTCCGGGTCAGCGGGCAGCCAGCGACAGCGCTCCGCGGGACCCCCCGGCAGCCGTCGAAAGTGGCGACAATGCCGCAAATCGCAGCCCCCAAGGATGGCCAGGTCAAATCTGAATCTGGGTTGTGTTTCGCTTCGCTGAGCCCCCAGCAGCCTTCGAAAGTGTCGACAATTCCACAGATCGCAGCCCCCCAGGACTGGCGAGGTCCAATCTGAATCTGGGTGGTGCTTCGCTCTGCTGGACCCCCCAGCAGCCTTCGAAAGTGGCGACAGCTTCGCATATCGCAGCCCCCCAAGGATGGCGAAGTCTAGTTTGAATCCACGTAAGACGTCACTCCGCTGGCCCCCCCGCGTAAGCGTCACTCCGCTGGCCCCCAGCGACGTCAATCCGCGTAAGACGTCATTTCGAAAGTGGCGGCTGTTTCGCAGACAGCAGAGCCCCAGGGGATGGCGAGGATTAATTCGAGTCTGGTTGAAACGTCACTCCGCTGGACCCCCCAGCAGCCCTCGAAACTGGCGACGTGGTCGAATTCAATCCGCGTAAGAACATCACTCCGCTGGACCCTCCAGCAGCCCTCGAAAATGGCGACAATTCCGCATATCGCAGCCCCTCAGGGACGGCGAGGTTTCATTTGAGCCCGCGTAGGACGTCACTCCGCTGGACCCCCCAGCAACCTTTGAAAGTGGCAGCAGTCTCGCAGATCGCAGCCCCCCAAAGATGGCGAGGTCTACTTTGAATCCGCGTAAGAACATCACTCCGCTGGAACCCCCCAGCAGCCCTCGAAAGTGGCGACAATTCCGCACCCCCCCCCCCAGGGATGGCGAGGTTGATTTCGAGCCGTCCAGTAAAACGTGACTCCGCTTGACCCCCCAGCAGCCCTCCACCCGAAAGTGGCGACACTTTCTCAGATCGCAGCGCCCCAAGGCTGGCGAGGTCCAGTTTGAGTCAGCCAAAAACGTCGCTCCGCTGACTCCCCCCAGCAGCCCTCGAAAACGGCGACAATTTCGCAGATCGCAACCCCCAGGGATGGCGAGGTCTTACTAATTTGAGCCCGCGTAAGAGTTCACTCCGCGGGACCCCCAGCAACCCTCGAAAGTGGCGACAGTCTCGCAGCTCGCAGCCACCCAAGGATGGCGAAGTCTAGTTTGAGTCTACGTAGGACCGTCATTCTGCTGGACCCCCCAGCAACCCTCGAACGTGGCGACAATTTCGCAGATCGCAGGCCCAAGGGGATGGCAAGGTCTAGTTTGAGTTCGCGTGAAACGTCGCTTCGCTGGACCCACCAGCAGCCCTCGAAAGTGGCGACAGTCTCGCAGCTCGCAGGCCCCCCAGGGATGGCGAGGTTAAATTTGAGTCCGCGTAAGACGTCATTCTGCTGACCCCCCAGCAGCCCTCGAAAGTGGTGACAAGATTGCCGATCGCAGCCCCCCAAAGATGGCTTGGTCTACTTGGAGCCCGCGTATTCACGTCACTCCGCTGAACCCCCCAGCAGCCCTCGAAAGTGGCGGCAATTTCGCAGATCGCAGCCTCCAGGGATGGCGAGGTCTAATTTGAGCCCGCGTAAGACGTCACTCCGCTGAAACGCCCAGCACCCTTCGAACATGGCGACAGTCTCGCGGCTCGCAGCCCTCCAGGGATGGCGAGGTCTAGTGTGAGTCCGCGTCAGGCGTCACCCCGCTGGAACCCCCAACACCTTGTCGACAGTGGCGACACTTCCACAGATCGCAGCCCCCAAAGGATGGCGAGGTCCAGTTTGAATCCGCGCAAAATCGTCACTCCGCTGGACCCCCCAGCAGCCCTCGAACGTGGCGACAATTTCGCAGATCGCAGCCCCCCCAGGGATGGCGATGTCTAACTTGAGCCCGCGTAAGACGTCACTCCGCTGAACCCCGCAACAACCCACGAACATGGCGACAGTCTCGCAGCTCGCAGCCCCCCAGGGATGGCGAGGTCTAGTTTGAGTCCACGTAGGACGTCACTCCGCTGGACACCAGAGCAGCCCTCGCAAGTGGGGACGATTTCGCAAGTCGCAGCGAACATCTCGCAGATCGTAGCCCCCACAGGGATGGCCGGGTAGGAGGCAAGACAGCACGCAGGAAAGAGCGAGGTGAGAGGCAGGAGAAAAGAGGTGAGGGGGCGGGAGGAGAAGGTGTGCGACCGCACTGTTCTAGTCAAAGCGGGAATACATGGATGGTGATGGAAAGCATACATCCTATACCTGTCTGTATCGATGTATGGGGGATTGGTCGGCATATGTTGGTACTGGCTGACCTATACATATTTCTATACACATATGTATAGTGTCAGTGGTGCTGCCAGCT